CTGAACCAAGAGGGTAAGATCCGGTGGTATATATCCAATATTGATAGCCTCCAGCTTTATTCAACAACATTACAAGTTTGCCCTGTGACTGATCACTAATATCCAACTGGGTCTCTCAAGAAGAAGAGAAAGCTACCAAGATATACACACTTCTATTTATGAGAATTGCGAATAAAATTCGAGATTGTTAGCGGAACCAGCGTCCCGGAGAAAACTGACAACAATAAGCTCGACACTAATGATTAGAGAAAGATTTCCGAGAAAGCTTTGTCCTCCTGACTAAGGTTCTTGTAAAGTCATGAGAAAGCTGAATTTCTATTTACCTTATCTCCTTACTTACACAAGGGTTGAATGGCTAATAGGGAAATATTCTGCGAACCCTTTGTCCCCTTACACACACACATAGATTGTGAAAGTGTAAAGGTTTATGTAGACGCAATCAAAGAGATTGAGCTCATCTTTGTTAAGCGGGCGAGTTGTTGGGTAACTACTTTCTCCTACGACTTTCTCCCCATTTTCTCCATTACGGATCAGACCTCAGTCCGTATTTAGGCCAGTATTACGTTCATCCACGTTTACTTAGCTCTCCCCGCGGAAGAAAGAAGACGAGGCAGGAATGCGGCATTGTATAGAGTGTCGTGGAGAAAGTTCCTTATCTCACTTTCTCTCTGGTGTTGGGCGCTTTTTCCTCGTGAAGTGTCGTGTCGGTGGGAGATTTATATATGTCACTTGGGAATTCGGAATTAAACTTTATCCTGTCACCCGGCAGATCCAATAGACTGGTCCTTCTCCACTTCCTGCCCTCCGTACATGTTGGGAGAAAGCGCTAACATTTAGATAATGCAATTTCTCCCCGCTCCCCCTTTGTTATGCGGCGGCAGAGTCCTTTATCAGAGGTGAAAGAGAAGTTATTGGGATTCTCGCTGGAGCAGTGGTTGTGGGGCCAAAAGTGAAAAGTTGCCTGGGCGTGGTGCGGTTGGCTTCAATTTAGGCGTGACTGATTGGTACGACTTATTGAATCACGTTATATGGACCTGCCATCAAGTGTAATAAATACTGGATGGATAAATTAATTTTATTAGGAGCAGATTTTAACGAGAAGTGAGTCAACCTATATATTATTTATGTAAGCGAATTAACCACTGGCCGTGGGGACAGAGGGACAACGTCCCCACGGTTATGCGATGTTCCCATAATCTGCCCATGTTATATAAACCCCTCCCTCCCTTATCCTACAATGTTAACGTCCCCACAGCTTCCACGGCCACTGGAACTAACTAGGTCCAGCCTTATTATGCCCTGCGACACGTCAGACGCTGAATTTTATCACAATATTCCATCATCTGTACGTACAGCAAGGATAAAATTGTAATTTAAATTTCGCACCAAATTTCACTTCTTTCTCGACTGGGCCACCTCCCTTGCTTATTATTCGTGTCATCAGATCAGACAAAAAAACAAAGTGGACTGCCACTCTCCGTATCCGGCAGAAGTTGTCGTCTTCCTCTCTCTCCTTCTCCTCGACCTACTTGGTTTAGTTTGCCTCCCCGATTTTACCGAGAGAAGAACGACCACCACTTCCAAACTATGTGCCCGTCACTCACCGTCCAGTCCAGTCCAACGGAGGTCTTCTTCTTGTTAAGGAGGTGAAGAAAATGAGAAAGATCGTTTCCCGTTGCTGGCTGACATTTAATTCATTTTTCATTCCAACCACAATCTCCATTCGAGCGGAAATTCTCTCCCGTAAAATATTCAATCCTTTTTCTAAACTGTGATGACCACGAGTAAAATTTTACGACGACGAGGTTTCCCTAATAAGGAACCAATCTCATTATGTGACCCACATTTAATAAAGTGACTCTCCGCCACACAATTTATTCCGCAATGCATTTACATCCTCAAGTAAAGTAAATATGTAGTGAGACCATTTTTTTCCTAGCGTCTGTCCAACTCTGCTGGTACGTGGCATTATGCATCGACTCGAAACAAGGCCGACCACCATGTACTGTTTGTCCCCGTGACAAGGGAGAGACAGGGACAACGGAACGGACAAGCACGCGACAGTCGCAACCAGAGCAGAAAGAAAGAGAAAGTAGGAGAAAAAAGAGTAGAGAGACGAGGAAATGTTACTTGTTAACTGGAGGAAAAATCTCGTCCGAGACCCTCCACATACTGCCCCAACTTAAGATAATATCTCGGGAAACGATAAGTCTTTACAGTCCGGGCGCACTTTCTCCTTCTCGAGACCAATACCCACACTAAACGAAAACTAACAAGCTGCTCTCTTCTCTCGTAGAATTCTCTCTATCTCTCTCCTCTACCCTGCTGTTCTTGGACGCTGTCCTAATAATATATTATATCTCTCACTCACTCACTCGGGATAGTTGAACGACCAACATGTTTCTACGGCTTGCATGCCTCGACTCTCTTTCTTGGATGACAGTGTTTCGGGTGAAAGTATGAAAGAAATAAGGGGGAGAAAGTGGTTTTTTGGAGGTATTTTGAACTGCAAGAAATGCAAGGCTCAAGAAACTACGCTACGTCGCTACACCTCATACGACGCGTGGCTGGATGGCGCAAATTTCGTGCACTTTCTCCCAGTTTCTTGCACCTCGAATTTCTTCCGTTTCTTGCTCTGCAGTGCAAGAAATGTAGAAAACCTACAAGAAACGAAACACTGTCTTCTGCTTTCCGAAATCACAATTTCTTGCAGTGCATGTACATATGTAACCCATGAAAAATAAGAGAAAGCCATGCCACGTAGTATACCGCGGTTGAAAAGAAGAAAAAAACACGCTATCATATTTTATACCATCTGGTCTTTCGGTCTACCCCAAAACTTACGTTTCCTTCAGAATTTACGTTCCCTGCCGGGAAAGATGTGTCTATCTATCCATCCATTGGTCAGGGTGCGAGGTACATACATCTACCCGGCCAATTCTTCATTTGTTGTTACTTAGTTTGCTATCAAAGCATCGGCAATACTTCAATGTTGAATACATACTTTTTTCTATTTTTTCCCCTCAACCATACTTTAGGTTTGGTGGACGCTTGAAAAGTATTACTTTCTCTCTCGCTTTCCTTCTTTCTTTCTCAGCTTTATTACTTTTTTCCTAAGAGGTTCGTTCTCCATCCCACAAAAATATATCCGTGTTATCGATAGGTACCCACACCCATACGCAGAAAGAATTGACTTTGGAAATTCTGCACTTTATGTGAAAGTAGAGTGGGTTGGTGGGTGGCGTTGGTGTTTGGAGGGAAAAAATGAATGAGGAAGTGCAATGTCGGAACGAGATTGGAGATAGATCGACTCTATCTCCCCGCTACACACGGTTTTCCTCTTTCCCATGCTTATTTAACTCCAGCCATGTCCTTCTTGGAGAAGAAATAACTCTTTTTCAAGTGGCAGGCTTGGGAGGAAATTCGCAATTTGTGAGCTTTCACTTATACAAATAGACAAATAGATCACACCACAACAAATCACACAGGATGTGAAACGTCAACTCCAATTTTGCATGGATGGAGAAAGCCTTTGAAATCCGTGACTAACAAACATCTAACTAGGGAAGGATATGTATTATGTAGGAGAGGAATTCTAGGATTGTTTACCTACCGGGTTACTTTGTGGTATGGATGGATGGATTGCTACACACAATTTGAGTATGTAGGGTATCTTACCTGGAGAACGTAGTTTATTACAAGTCTCACTTCTATACATTTTTCACCCTGAATCGAGAACTGAAAGGTTGAATGGGACACAACTTTATTGGTTTTTTTTTTGGCAAGGAGCACACATCCAGAGTCAATTCAAAGATGAATTAGTACGAACCAAATGAAAAGAAAGTTGTATTCATGCCAAGGAAAAGTAATTCGAATCAGGGAAAAGTGTCCCCACATTTTTATGAAAGGAGAGGATGTTAAAAAACATATTTTATGGTAGGAAAAGGAATGCAATTTCTCTAATTGAATGCTAAACCTGGAGAATAGTTCAATGTGTGTTAAATTCATCCAGGCATAATAAAAAAGAGGGAAAATCTGGTATCTGTAGCTATTTAGGGTGGAGGTCTCCCAGCGTATGATCTCCGATTTTGCATAAAATCAGTGTCAATCGACCACAAATTTACATAATATGAAATTAGAAAAAGGCATGATCTCCCAGTGCAGAGATTTGGCAGAGATATTTGCATCCAAAGAGGATAAAACGCGCAGTAAATAAATGTAAAATTTGTCAACTTTATATGGGGTTCTCCTCTTCGGATGCAAATATCTCCGCAAAAAATGAGCATTGGGAAACATGCCTTTTTAAATTTCAAATCAACTAAATTTGTGAGCTATTAACACTAACTTTGCCAAAATCTGTCAACACAAGCTGGGAAACCTCCATTATTAGTAAGACGTGAAAATGCGCAGTACGTATAACTCTATTGCCATAACTTATTTCCAAGAAAGGAACATCTCTTTCACAAAAATGTTATTTGATACGCCACTAAAACATGAATGGATCACATCACATAATAATTATAATTGACTCTCCTTCTTCCCCTACCACAAAACGAATGACCTATTTCATCCAGCCAACCACAAATACTGAGAAATTGACTACAACGATAATACATTAATTTGTCCCATTTTCCTTTCAGATATCTCCCAAATAATAGGCCATCTTTCACCAAAACGCACTTACTTTCCCTCCACTTTTTGCTCTTCAGCCTGAGTGGCAATATTATTTACTGCCATAAAAAGGTCACCCTCAGTCAGCTTTACATCACATTACTTGTCCTCCGAGTGGAAATGAAGTGGCGGAGTCAAAGTGCGAGAGAGCATATTTCTCCGACTTCATTACAAGGAAGGTGAAGAAGCTATGTCACGAAGCGATATTGGATTGGGTGCGTTCGTGGCAGTGATACTGCTACACGGGGCTCACTTTCTCCTTACAAAAAACGTGCCGGTATTCGAGCGATATGCGCCAGGCTAAAATAAGTGCAATAAATTAGACTTACCCGTCGGCACGGTGGTAGATATCATCAAGAAGTTGACAAAAATCCCACCGCGGCCGTGACCCATTAAGGTCACGTTGCTCCGGTCTCCGCCGAACGAGCCGATATTTTCCTGAAAAAAAAACGTGAAGAGCAAAATTAAGACTCGAAAATCGTTTAGGTAAACGTTTTTATGGACAAATAGATTATTTATTTTGATGGGGTTCGTTTTATTAATGGTTGTTGTAAAAATTAGTGCGGTATTTGATACAAATTTCGTTACGCTTTCTTTAGCCGAGCACCTTTCCGGCTAGTAATTCAGTGGCCGCGGAAGCATGGGGACAGGGGGCAATGTCCCCACGGTCATTCGATGTCTGTATCATCTGCCCATGTTATATAAACCACTCCTTCCCCTATCCTACAATTTTAATGTCCCCACAGCTTCCGCGGCCACTGGTCTAGTAATCACCCTCCTCTCTCCCTCTCTCTCCGTAGTGGCTGTCGGATCTAGGCCTATAATCCACTCTCTCTCTCTCTAGCCAGCCCTTAGCTCAGCGGTTGTTTTATGTAGCTCATTGTTGTCTGTGTTGAGAACAGATTTCAGAGTTTTTTGTTACTATCAATCTTCCCCAAATTGTACCTTGTATGTATCTTTCAGAAGAAGAAGAAGAAGCGCTCTGTATTTTGTTGTGAACCATGCGATGCGATGATCCCCCACCCATCCTGGAGACCAAAACAACAAAAAACTAATGGGTTTTGTCTTCATCCCGGTTCATTTTGATATCTTTATTTCCCATTTTTCTTGTAATCCTATACTACGTACGTACGTACCAAATTTTCCTTGTTTTTGTTAGAATTGTTAGCGGGTACGTGCGGGAGCAGAGGAGAAGATGACCGAGTTGAGTTGTTACGAGAGAGAGAAGAGTTGTTGTCTGACCGAGTATAAATAACTGGGCAGAATAAAGTACCCCGTGTCATAGTGGTCTTCATGGTGTGGCATAAAATCTGGATAAAGTATGACCATTCAACCCTTCAAAGCACGTACGATGTAGACATGTGTACGATGCGAGGAAACGAGTTGAAGTAGTACTTACGATGGAGGTCTCGCAGTGTGTGCGAGCAGATTTTGAGCAAATTTGTTGCAATCGGTCAGAGATTTAATTAGTGTGAAATTTTAAAACGACACGATCTCCCAATGGGCACGTTTAGCAGAGATTTTTGCATCCGAAGAGAAGAAAAGTTGACAAAGTTGACAGTTTCTAAATTTACTCCGTGTTTTCTCCCCTTCGGACGCAAATATCTCTGCCAAACGTGCCCATTGGGAGATCGTGTCTTCTGCAAATTTCATACTAATTAAATTTGCGATCGGTTGACATTAATTTGCCCAAAATCGGAGAGCATACGCTGGTAGTGCTCCATTATTCCAAGAAAATATGCCTCCGTCAACAACCAAGTACTTAGCTGGGCACCGTATTTTTGTCCCTGGTCAAAAAAATATTTTCTTATTCCACCAATTTAACCACAATCTTAAGACCAGGACCCTATTAAATTAATAAGAAAAGCAAAGAACGAAAATTTATAAACTCTCCACTTAATTCCATCCCACTGCCGGACTGACTATGATTCCTCCTCAAGTGGGTAAACATTCAAGACCTGAGCCATCTCGACTACCTTTCCTTTTCTGCTGGTGTAACAAACAAGAAAATCGAGCCACAAAACACGATCCACTTTGGACACGGATGATAAAGATTTTTCAAGAAAAATGAACCTTCTCTTATCCGACATGAAAGTTGAGGAGCGAGAAGAAGAAGATGCGACCACCGTGAGCAACATTATTTTCCTCCTTCCTCAACAGAGAAGGAGAAAAGTGTATAATGGAGAAAGCAGTGAGAGAGATGATCCCGGTTGAAGGATGCTATTATTCACAGCATCACGGCAGCCCGTTCATGGACCTTCTGCTTTTTTATGCCGGGCTTGATACGTTTATACTTTTATACTTTAATGGGATGCGGCCTACGTGATCTGAATGTGGACGATTCAAGTCAGCAAAAGCAGAGAGTGCGGCAGGCAGGCATGGCAGTGGTTTCGGGTTGGAAGGAATGGTGATGCCAAGATGGAACGATATCTCTTGTTTGTTTGTGGCCTTAGTTTTGCATGCATGCGACTTTCACGACCAAATGACGGGTGTTAGTCCGACTAATTGAGTAAACTTTGTGGGCACTCTAAAAAATCGGGGGACAAATGTCGCACTCATGATCGGGGTTGTTACCATTTTGCTGGTAGTATGTTTCCGCTTGGTGATAGACTATGGGTATTCCCACGTTATTCCCCTGTAGCTGAACCGTGACATATTATCATTATCCGGTAAAGTCTTGGTGATGATTCGGTGTTAAAATTTGTTAGAGTGTGTAGACTAAATTTTCTGCCTTGTGCACATACATATCAGGTGAATGTATGTGTGTGTGTGTCCTTTGAAAATGAGACACATGGATCAACATTATCTCTACTAATTGTGTGTCCCCTGGACTGTAAATGTGTGTAAAATGTCTAATTTTTCATGCAAATATTAGTTCAAACGAATAAATAAACAGGATACTACATATATGTACTGTACATACGTACTTGAACCTTTGTCCTTTTCCTACTGGACCAACTGGAGCACACACAACATCAATAATATCGCTAACAAGGCATCTTACACCAACGTTCACGTTAATAAATATGTACCTAAATACATGTACATACATGTTCACCCAACTAAACATAGTTACGTGCATGCCTCACTTATTCAGCCTTCATTTCAGTTCATCAACCCCCCAGCAGAATTGTTATTGTTTGCTAATGATCAGTGAACAGTAAATATTTATGTGGATGCGGATGTGGATTCGTGAACAGGATATGACTTGAATATAATCCAGTCTCGGGGAAAATTAAGTGATTCGTTCGTGTTCCACGCCTCTCTCTCGGAATACTTAGCACGTATTATTTCCGAGGAATAGACAAAGGATTCCCATGCAAGGTAGGACTGACTCGAGAGAAAGTTCGTTAGGGGAAAGGTCGTTCGCTGCGGCTTTGGTCGGATTACTCGGTCTCAGCTTCATTAAAGGATTTTAAAATGGAAATGGGATGTGTGTGAGCGGCATCGTCATCTTTTGTTCGTACGTACCTGCGTCCAGTGAAGGGCAGCAATCACGTCAAGCAGGGCGAAGTTGGCGGGGGACTTAAAGTAACCGTCCGAATTGGCGTTGAGGAATCCTGGAAAAGAAATTTATTTCAAAAGGTATTAAGTATACGGGTAGAAAAGTGGTATTAAATCAGTACTGACCGGGGTCCATATATATATGACTTTACCGGCACTGGTAGTAATTAGCATTACCGTTTAGTAATGCTGTGGTAGTTAAAAACTTATCACAGAAACAAACACTACCAATCCGGTAGGAAGTTGTTACCAAATCTAGACACTCTTAGAAAACTGGTATTACTACTGGTATTACTGGTCATTACTGACCCGACTACATATCTGTAAATATGACTCAACCGACACTGGTAGTGGTAATAATGGGCATTACCGTTTAGTAGTCTTGTGGCAATGAAAAATTTACCACTCAGAAACAAATTATGTACTACCAATCCAGTAGAAAGTTATTACCAGATCAATACCAGTAAGACTATATCTGACTCCACCACACTTTTAACAGTGTAAGACTGACTTACACTGTTAAAAGTGTAAGTGAGACGATGAGTGTACGTACCTAAGATTCCCACGCGGAAGGTCACAGTGACGACGATGATATTGCCTTGGCTGGCAAGCAAGGAGGGATCATACGGGTGACCGGCACCCCAGCCGTAATCTTCCCCGTGGACGAACACCATCACAGCAAGTGGACCACTATTCTTCCCGTTGGCAGCTGCAAAAAATAAATTAGCAAGTTACACACACAAAAGGGCACTACACGTTTACATACAACATACTTATGCATAAGAAGATTCTGCACATTACTTATGCCACCCGCATAATGAAATTGTCTTGAAAAATGAGCAAATCCTGTCTAAATAGCTTTACTACCGTATAGCCCTCATCACCACTCTGCTGAATTCCGGTACAAAAATCGGCCCAGAAATAAAATCCATGAAAGAGAAAAATTGGACTTTCTCCCCATTTTCATCACCATTTCCCCACCATGGACCAACCCAACCCACACGGCCACCATTCAATTCTGGATAATCGCACAGCGCAGCGCATTCTTAAGCTACACGGCCAACTTCCTCCCAGTACGTCGTAACCTCAAAAATGCATTTCACTGTCACACTCACCACCACCATGCCACCAGCCAAAGAATGTGCGGCTCAGCAAGGACACAGCCTTTTTTCAATGGGTCGAACACACACGTGGACTTGAGGTTTTTACGAGGGGAATAAAAATACCACATGTTATTACACTTCACAATTCCGTAACCTGTTTGTTATTGGGATGCAGGGCAATATACAATAACTTATCGACATGGTCACGTCCACCCAGCCATACGTAAAAAATGCAAATAGGCATTGTACGTAGTGATTTTTAATGGTAGTTATATACCTTCAGTGGCCGCGGAAGGTTGGTAGGGACATTAACATTGTAGGATAAGGGGAGGCAGGGGTCTATATAAAATAGGCAGATGATGGGTCCCTCTGTCCCCAGCCTTCTGCAGCCACTGGTCACGATATTGCGAAACCCCGCATCCAAAAACCACGAGACTTTTCGCTTTTGATTAGAGGAGTGGAATGCTATGGATGGATTTCATTTCAAATATTCCTTCATTCCCGAGCCAGCCAGCTTTCTCCTCCACTTTCTCCAACTCTCTCTCTCCAAAGTTGAAATTGGAAAGGGTGCGGTCGGCTGTCGTGTCGGTCAGAAGGGTCAGACGATGGATTGTTCACTCTCTGAAGACGGGGATCTTTATTCCACATGACAGAGGACAGAATGCATGAGTCAACTCCAATTCTGCACCAGCCACACTTTGAGCCCGCAGAGAAGAAGCGAGAAAGATAAGAGAGAAAGTTGGTCCGAGGACAAGTCAGAGTTGAGGTTTTGTTCTCGGCCGGAATATGAAAACTCAGTGCACTGAAAGTGATTTCGATATTAATGCATTGTTGCAGGTTGAGGGAGACGTCAAACCTTGTCAGTCAGCGTGATAAATATGTTTCCATAAGAATTTTGATACCCTATATAGATGTCACTTTCACTTGACCTATTTCACACAATGGGATTTTTTCTTAGTCTTCAAATATCTGCGCATTATTACTTCCGCGTTGTACATAAAATATTTTACGGTAGGTACTTACTTTTAAAAAAATAATGTAAAAAAAGAGTAGGTAGTCTGATCAGTGTTTCGGGTGAAAGTAAACAACCACGTGCAAGAAATAAGGGGGAGAAAGTGGTTTCTTGCGGGTATTTTGACCTGCAAGAAATATTTCATACGGTGCGTGGCTAGATAGCGCATATTTCTTGCACTTTCTCCCAGTTTCTTGCACCTTTTTGCAGTTTCTTGCACCTCGCATTTCTGAGAATATCTTGCAGCTCGCATTTCTTGCGTTTTTTGGACCTCGCATTTCTTACTTCGCACTGCAAAAAATGTAGTAAACCCGCCCGAACCGAAACACTGGTTAGCCAGCTTCCTTGAAAAATCAAACGTGACGAAAACCCAATGCCACCCTCACGACAGAAAATCGAACCCTTTTTCTGTTGGGCCACGTTTTACCACTCCTCATTCCCAAATATGAGGTGACATGTTTGTCCGCAACTATCATCATCACACTCACTCGCCATCGCCACCAACACGGAGTGAACCAGGGCTGACGAGATTGTCAAGAAACTCGGTGGTGGTGGTGGTAAAGGGGGCCGTGATTCATTGAAGCGTTAACAAGTTGCAATGACAAAGGATTCATCTCATCCATTTTCTCAGGGCACAAAGGAAATACGCGACACAAGATAACAAGCTGTATCTCTTTCTCTCTTTCTCCGCTATCACTCGACCAGCCAGTTCTTTCTGCTTTCTATGATGTCAAATTTATCTAACGTGATGAGATGGGAGGAGGAAACGGACGGATCGATGCAATCAAGTAAGTAAAACATGATAATACTTCCCGAACCGCAAATGTGTACGGGATCAATTTAAGTGTAATCGACATCAAGGGTGAAAGACGCCACGACGCCGTTTCCTTTGAGGTAGATAAACATACTACACTGTTAAAAATCTGGTATAGTTAGATATGTACTCCATACTGGTATTGATTTGGTAATAACTTCCTACCGGAGGGGTAGTAGTTTGGTTATGAATGGTAAATTTTTCATTAGTACAACATTGCTAAACGGTAATGCCCGTTATTACCAGTGCGGGTAGTGTTACTTATGTATGTACTCCAGTCAGTAATGATTTAATACCAGTCTTCTAAGAGTGTAAACAAAACGAGTGACTCGCTGAATTACAAACGAGTGATTTTTGATTATTGGAAACATATATAAAATTTCGAAATATTCCTAACTAAGCTAGCGCCAAAGAGTGACAATAAGTGGCCAAAGTTGTGCAGGTGTCATGTGCCACGTAAAGTAACTTCTTTTCTTCTGGAGATATGACGAGTGTGGGAAGCTGGTTGGAAAGATGAGAGGAGTGAAAGCTTCCTCATTTACTTCCTGTCTCAGCCTCCTTGAGAAGGATAAGTAAGTAAGGGTTCTGTCGCCGTCCTCTTAACCACCACCACCAGAAGTACGTAGCTGGCACCATCAGGAGCAGACAGACAGGGTAAAAGTGGGTTGATCTGATCATGATCATCCTCTTAAGCAACTCGACTTTTCGGGATCATCGCCGCCGTCATCACCTTCATCGACCGAGAACGAAACAAGGCACAACGTTCATGTATTTTAACACGTCCCTCCGATGGCATCAGGTTTCAAATCTTATTATTTACCGAATCATGTGGTGCTGCCCTGTTTATTGGCTGGATTGGGTGGAATGTCGTTATGAGATTTGTTGGTTAGGGTGAAAACTGATAGTTTGGATTCATATGTAATATTAGAACATTTAATAAACCGTGCCAAACGGGCATGAAAAAGTGGTGTCATGTAGGTAGTAAAATGTAAAATGACACCAAAACATGAAAAATTATGTGATTTATGACCTTTCACCTGGTTTGATCGCAGGTCAAAAATATTGGCGGTGCTTGTTTTGTCGTGAAACCTCCCTTTAAACTGACACCGCACCTGACGATTAAGGTTAAACTTAATTTTGGACCATACCTGACGATATGGAGACTAGTCTTATAGACCCGATTTTCGTACTCGACTAAAAACTACAAATTAGAAGCATAATGGCCAAAACGACATTTAATTATGTTGAACCGTTCTGGAGATAACCTGCCCACGGACGGACGGACAAAACGATCACAATAAACGGCTTCCGCCACTTAATAACCGACCGTGTGCGGCTATGCGAAATTGCGAATATGAAAACAGTTCCCTATTCTCCCGTTCTTTATCATGCACCAATAAATGCATACCCTGGCAAGCCATACACCTCCATAAAAGGAGCCATATATATATAGCTGACTAAAAGTTAAAGTTATGCATATGTAAATGTTGAATTACAACATGCATGGAATAATTTCCCCGCTAAACTAGGTCCAAACAATCCAACCGTGCAACATTCACGTCCGTCACCACCTCCGGGCATGACAAAGACTTGAGAATTATGCACAGGTTGGGAAATGCCAAAGTGAATAAATATCTGCACATATTCATACATAAATAATTTTCTGGTCAAATATGCATTCAAAAAAAGTTGCGAAATGTCAAACTGATGTGGAGAAGTGCATTCCAAAAAGTATGATTGTTCTCAAACCCGTAACGTTTCACCCACATTTGTGCCCAACGAAAGAGAAAGTTGGGCTCGAAAAATAAGTGCAGTTAATTCCCCCCAACCCAGAAACCACCACCACCACTTTGCCATCATCCTCCGTATGTGACTAAAAACTTGAAGAGTAGGAACGCATCCAACTGCTCCGCCTCTTTTATGCCCTCCTTCACGACAGTTAATGAGCTCTTTAGTATCGTAAATATGTCAAAGTGCCATACCACACCACATTCCGAGACCTACATTACTATTACTACTCACTTACTACTAGCAGCGAGCGGGCGGGCGTGCAAGGAAGACTCGGAGGGAGAAAGTAAAAGAGGAGTAATTTCTATTGTAATTTGCTCAAAAGAAATTGCCCCTTTCTTTCCCGGCTCACAATTAGTTTAAAGTGGCCCATTTCTGAAAAAATCTCATTAACTGTAGTGGCTTCATGGGAATATGGGCATCCTCCAATTTGAGCTAATCAGCTTTTACATACATCTGCTTAAATTTTTGTGGTGGTGGAGTATGCACCCATTGCAATTATCATCAATCACGCACCCCACCTTTTTCGCACGTGGGTTGCGTATTTTTTTGTGGTGGGTGGGTGGGTGGATGGATGCATATTTTTAGTATATTTACCAATGATTTCTAAAATTCTGTGTAGTGAAAATATTATGCAAATTTTTATAAAAAAAACAGATAGATAGCTAAAACAATATCAATCACGCCACGTGGGTGGGTTGCGTATTTTCTAGTTTTTTTGTGCTGGTTGAGTAGATGCATGCATATTTTTAGCAAATTTATCAATGATTTCCAAATCCTGAATGAAAAATATGCAAATTTTTATATAAAAAAAGAATACATATCTAGCAATCACGCACCGCACCTTTCGCACGTGGGTGGATTGCGTAGCCTTTGTTCTATTAGGCGGATGCATGCATATCATTACTTACCATATTTTTCAATGATTTCCAAACCTCTGTGTATATAAAAATATGTAAATTTTTCCAAAAAAGAACAGATACCAAAAACAATTCTATCTAAAACTTAATGAAACTTTTCTGAATAAATAAGTACGAAAAACTTGGCCAGGTTCATAACTAATAACCAGCCAGACAAGGAACTAATAGGGATCAGAGAAAGCTTTGAACTGCACTGCACATCTTTTTTTTCAACTCATATTTGTATTCATTCCTTGCGCCCGTATCGCGGAATATTTTCCAAAAAGGTGGAGAAGCCAACGGACAAAGGAAACTAAGAGAAAAACTCTTTGAATTCATGTACCAACTTAACGTATGAATCCACAATTCTCATCCAAGAAATAAAAACATGAAATACATAAAACGCTCCTACTACTCGTAACTATTGCCCAGAAAGGAAAACTTTTTCTGACAGTTTTACCCTTCTCTCTCTCTTGTTTTCTCCTCCAGTGGCCGCGGAAACTGTGGGGGCATGTGGGGACGTTAACATTATAGGATAGGGGAGGGCCGGGTTTATATAAGTTGGGGAAATGATGGCGACATCGAATAACCGTGACGACATTGTCCCCCTGTCCCCACCCACCCTTCCGCGGCCACTGTTCCCCTCCATCTGTATCCCATCCTATCTCCTAATGTAAAACTGGTCCGTAAAAGTTTTTCCCACTCACTTCTTTGAAAAGAGAGAGAGAACAAGTGTGAATATAAAAAAGAACAATGGAAATTGTCAACTCGACAAAGTCAGTCAGTCACCCATTCGGTGAGTAACGGCGGATTCCTTATGATGCAAGAATGACACAAAGAGAAGGAACGAAATGAGCCCTTTTTTCCCCAGCTTCACAATTTATTTTATTCCTCCAGGCTTTCACACAAGTTTAGCTTTAACTCAAATGACAAACTTTCATTCAGACATATTGTCCCGGATTGTATTGTTGGATAGGCCGGTTCAAATTACGTAAAGCTTTTCGAAAACGACCAAAAGAACTGGTTTGGCGATAAGAAACGAAAGAATTTAAGTGAGTAATAACATCAGTAGAAGTGGACCATAAGCAATCCACCTGCTGTGTGTGGGGGGCTGGGGCTGCCAAATGAGGAAAGTGTTGAAGCAATCAAACTCTATTTCTAGTTGAAAATCGGCCCAACTTTTTTGTAGCGAAGGTAACTTTACTTCGTCCCGTTTTGAAGAAAATGACAAAAATATCCGGGAATTGGGTAGGGGAAAGTTTAAAAAGCGTACATACAGGTCCCCAATTATTACCTATTTTCAACCTAAAATAATCCATGGAACGAAATAAACTTTGTAACAGGGCCATTTTACTGGCGAATAATAACTGGGAAATAATTTGGTAGTAAAACTGATATGTGTGTGTGTATGGAAGGTTCGGTGACATTGTTAATAATGGGACTCACTTTCCCTCTTCCGAGAAATGTATATATAGCTAAAATAAGTTGTCGTCTTCATATAGATAGAAATGTACGAGAAGAAAGGAGTTCAGGTTAAAGTGACATTTAACTCTGAACTCTGCTAAGAGTTTATGTCATGTCATCGTCACAAAGTCGTGTCACAAAACAAACTTTGAACATTTTAAGTTTTGCACAATTGTAGCTTGGAAACTCGGATTAGTACGTACACATAGTGCTGATATTACCATGTACGTACGTATTTATGTATAGTTTCTAGATATCCGCCCTACCCCCATTTTACACGAAATTGCCAGAGTATACAATGAAAATGCTCGATGTTAATGGTCAAATCCTTCCTTCCTTCCGTCATGCTTATGCAACAGAGAGGATTATGTCATTGTGCGCGTTGCATGACTGGATAACCAGTGGCCGCGGGAGCTGTGGGACATCTGGGGACATTAACAGTGGGAGGGAGTGGTTTATATAAGATGGGGAGATGATGGAGACATCGAATAACCGTGGGGACATTGTCCGCACCTTTCCGCGACCACTGCTGATAACGATCTGTGTCTGTCTGTCTGTATTTATCTGCAGTATAATGATGCCGCCCTGAAATGATGACAGTTTTCAGACAGAAAACACAAATGAATCATTGCAACACGAATTGCGAAATGTTTGTTCCTTTCACTGCTACAACATTTTCCCAGTGAAAGCAGAATTTACCCCGAGTTCTGTAAATTCTGATACAGAACGAGTCGCAAACTGCTAGTCTGTTGTCTTGTCCTACATTCTTTCCCGACATACCAGTACCATGGCCATTAAGATATTTATTATATTGTTCGCGTGGTCCTCAAATCCAATAAAAGCACTTTCCCCAAGATTACTGGATGCCACAAAACAAAACTTGGGACCATCGAAAGGATTACTGCCCTTCTTGTCGTCTGAAAAACCCACCAGGCTATACCCGAAACCTTACTCACCCGGGATTCGGACAGAGGATAGAATGATGAAGCACCTGGATCATAAAACAAGCATTTGCGCCGCATTCGACTGACTGGACAATTTATCTTGATTGTCTAGGAATGGAATGTTCATCGGCAATTTGGTTTTATCGCGGAGCGTATCTCATACACCACCACTGACGCCGCTTTCGACTCCCAGTTCACTAAATGAACTCATCTATCCAGAGACAAACTTGGTTGGACTTTCGAGCAAAGCGGCATACATCACCAAAACCAAAGCAGAGTAGTAATGGTCGTAGTAACTCTAAACTTGTGATGGTTCCGTGATCATCGTCATCGTCGTGATCCGGGGAGAGAGAAGTGGAGAACCTTGCTTTCTCCAGATCGGGACAGAAATTGTTCCGCAGTTGACACACTTTCAGAGAGGGTTGTAAATTACTCAACTTGTTTTGTTTTCCACTTGACAAATACGCGCGCTTATTACGAGGATCAATATTGTCGTGGAGGCAATGTTTCGAACAAATGTTGACCGACACATAAATACATATTGTTAAGGGTTTATTCGTATGGAAATGCGAAATATGTATTCTTGTTTTATGTAGGATTGGATAAATTCTCATGAAAATGGTCAAAATCAGCACAATTTTAAATCATTGTTCGCCTCTGGGAATTTATTTTACAATTCTGGACGACAAATTTGTAGTCAGTAATTTGATTAATAGAATAGCCCTGAGTTTTTTAAGCCAGTTTCGATAAGTTCCAATTTTTCTGAAGGCTTCGTAAACTTGAAATCTCCTTCAAAAAGTGTCAAAATCTGGAGTTATGTTTGTAAAAAAATGGAAATAACCAAGTACAAATTTTCCGTTCGGAATTTTAAAATACCGAGAAATGGTGAAAAATGTATTGAGTTTGACGATTTTGGCAATAAATCATCGACTCCTACGTTAATTGTTACGATGAACAACATTCCATGCTAAAAATAAATAACGACAAGGTTTTTATTCTAACTTTCTAAACGCTACATTTACTCGGTCGAGTAGTTCCAATGAATTAATTATTGGATGTCTCAATCTGTCTCAGTTTCTATGAAATGGATGAAGTTAAAGATATTTCGATCAGGTAGCTCAGGGTTTTTTCTCTGTTGCATTACATCATTCTTCCCTTGGAATAAGTATTTTTAACCCAGGCGAGGCCGAGGATAAAAGTAAAAGCACTTTTGTGTTCACTGTTCCAGATAATGAGCGATGAATCACTACTGGAAACTTTTGAGGTTTCAGATTAATCGATTTCTTGCTAATTTCTAATTCCGTAATTGAATTCGTAACAGTTGATGGTTGTGTGGGATTAAAGAACATTTCAAAGCATGGCATTGCTCAACTTGAGACAAATTTACACTCTTAAAAATGTGGTAGTCAGATATATACTCCGTGCTGGTACTGATTTGGTAATAACTTCCTACCGGATTGGTAGTAGTTTGTTTCTGCGTGGTAATTTTTTTTCATTACCACAACATTACTAAACTGTAATTCCCATTATTACCGTGTCCGTGGTGGCATATGTGAACCCCGGTCAGTAATGATTTAATACCAGTTTTCTAAGAGTGTACTCGTGATGCATGATATCAATACGTTTCAATTTCAGTGGTAGTGTCTCTTTAACAGAATATTTTCCTTACAAAATCGAAGAAACAGATTCATTAAAAATGCATGTATTTTAAACCCGAATCCGCCAAGCTGACAAATGGGGCAAGGTCTTTAAGCAACGATATACGTAGCGAATTCCATGATACTATTGATACTTTAATCGATGCCGAGAAAATGGCAGGATTTGCAATTCAGACGGATAAAACATTTGCCAAAAAACTTCTTTTCAATTTGATCCGAATAATCATTCAATATTTGGATGAAAAGGAACAAATTGGGTGGAAATGAAACTCATGATGGCTCTTTTTATACAAATCCAACTCAGACATTCTTTCCGCTTTTGAACTCATCTTTTCAAACTGGCTTCTTATTTATTGCCCGTGCTAGAGGCCCGACTTCTGCTAGTCATTCCAGATATGGTAATTAGGAAAATAACATGTATGCAGTCATTGCATGGGTATTACTGATAATATAATAAACTAAAGTCTAGTTTAAATCCACAAAAAAACAGTTTCTCGTCAAAACTTCATGTTAACTCATCGTCAGTGCAATTACAAAACCATGGTCAAGTGATGACTGCATCATCACAAAAAAAGTGAAGGACATCATGATGATGCTACATTAGTGGACTATCTGATGCCAACAGTAAATAATAATGTGTGTAGCATGCAGTTAGTTAGTTAGTCTGCAGTATGTGATGTGATCTACGTATGTACATATAATTGTTCATCACATTTACATCTGGCTTCTTGCATGTAATTATTTATTATAGACACAGGATTTAAAGTGAACGAATTTTCATAAAACTTGGAAATTTTAATAAATAATATTAAATATGATTAGTCTCACGTTGGTGGGATGTTTTCTGTTGGGTGTGTTGGCATATTTGCTAATCAGTAAACGGTTAAATAAACCAAAACTTAAGGGGAAATTACCACCAGGTAAATAAAAACATTGATTCAATTATGTATATAATTCGAAATAAAATAATTCTAGGGCCACCCGGTCTTCCGCTGTTGGGAAATCTACTCCAAATGAATAAGAAAGTTCCCTTCATGACATTTGTAGACTGGGCGAAGGACTATGGAGATATTTACTCGTTTAAGATGGGAAACTCTGTGTAAGTTAGTGGGATAATCGGTATGGGATAATTTTTTGATAATGCAACGTTTCGACATATGCATGCAGATCCTACGTGATTAGCGATCCTACTTGGGTCAAGGAGCTGTTCTCGCAAGATGCGGCTTTCGCTGGACGAATGTATATCGGGGACATGGTAGATTTATACAAGGATGGAACAATGCATGGTACGTGCATATACAAATGCATAACTCACTTCACCAACCATGGAATGGAGGTCTCCCAACGTATGCTCTCTGATTTTGGGGCGAACTAGTGTCAATCGGTTACAAATTTACTTAATATGAAATTTGCGGAAGACACAATCTCCTAATGGGCACGTTTGGCAGAGATAATTGCATCCGAAGAAGAGAAAATGCGCCTTAAAGTTTACAAATTTTCCAAATTTCCTGCGATTTTATTTTCAAAACTTTCTCCTCTTCGGATGCAAATATCTCTGCCAAACCTGCGCATTGACAGATTGAGTCATTTACAAATTTCATATTAATCAAACTTGTCATCAAGTGACACTATTTAATTTGATAAAAATCTGTCAGCATACGTTGTGAGAACTCCATCGTAAGTAATAAATTATAATTAAAAACACGCCCTAATTATTTTCCAGGAATCATCAACACAAACGGGGACCATTGGGAACAACTCCGAAGATTTACTCTCCGTCAGTTACGAGACTTTGGGTTTGGCAAGAGCACAATGGAAACCTTGATAATGGACGAACTTAAGGAAATCTTGGACTGGGTGAAGGACCATGAAGCCGAATCGGTGGGAAACATCAAGGAAAAAATGACCATTGCCGTTATCAACTCGCTATGGACGATCCTAAGTGGACATCGGTACAAGCATGATGACCCTGCCCTGCAAAAACTCACGTCAACCGTCACCTCGTAATAAATTAGTGTAGTTGATCGTACTTATTTACGAGATTTATGGAAATTTTATCCCGTTCAGAGTTCTGGAAGACATTGCCGGAAGTGGAGGTCTCGTAATAATGGCACCCTGGCTCAAGTACATCATTCCAGAATGGTCTGGATATAACGCGTTTCGCCGAGTGCTGGAAAAATTCCGGGTCATGTTCACCGCTGCGGTGGACGAACATAAGCAATCGTATTCAGAAGACTTTCAACGGTAAAAGGCACAAATTCCATAAAATTTCCTAAAATTTCTAAAGTTTCCTACAATTCCGTGATTTCTTCACGATTTTCAGAGATTTTATCGACGTGTTCCTCAAAGAAATTAAGACATGTGAAGATGTAGATTCCGCCTTTTTTGGGGAACTTGGAGGTAAATAAAATCGAAATTCTTGGTGTAATCTAATTTTTAAAATATTTTAAAATTTTCATAACAGAGAAACAATTGGTGGCTGTAATCGCGGACTTATTTATGGCGGGTTCCGACACGACGTCAACCACGTTGGATTGGACTTTCCTCTACTTATCCACTTTCCCCGAGGCACAGAAAAAACTTCAGAAAGAACTTGATACCGTTATTGGAGACTCGAGACTTTGTGGGTTGTCCGATAGGCCAAAGTGAGTTGCAGTGTTTCGGGTGAAAGTAACCACGTGCAAGAAATAGTGGGAAGAAATTGGTTTCTGGCAGATGCATATTTTGACCTGCAAGAAATACAAGGCGCAAGAAACTACGCCCCGCCGCAATAAATAGTTCATAGGGCGCGTGACTGGATGGCGCATATTTCTCCCAGTTTCTTGCACCTCGCATTTCTTGCGTTTGTTGCTTTGCAGTGCAAGAAATGTGACAAACTAGTAAGAAACGAAACAATGTTTTGGACTTTCAAGAAATGCGAGGCGCAAGAGACTATTTCCCGATGCTATAAATAGTTCATAGCGAACGTGGGTAGATGGTGCCTATTTCTTGTACTTTCTCCCAGTTTCCTGCACCTCGTATTTCTTACATTTCTACCTTCACACTGCAAGAAATGTGTCAAACCCACAAGAAACGAAACACTGAGAGCTTGGTGACCGTAAAATACCCATTTTATAGGCAGTACATATGTAGATTATGTTTCATCTTCCAGCCTTCCATACACCGAAGCACTTCTCGCCGAGATTATGAGATACTCCTCCATCACCCCCAGCGGAGTGGGTCATCGTGCCATGGCGGATCGGGAATTTAAGGGTTATGCAATTCCCAAAGACACGTCACTCCTCGCCAACTTGTATCATATTCATTTCAACCCTAAAATTTGGGGAGATCCGGAAAATTTCCGCCCCGAGAGGTTTCTCAGCCCTGATGGCAAGACGTTCAAAAAGCATGAAGCCCTCCTCCCATTTCTCGTCGGAAAGAGGCAATGTGCCGGCGAAACCTTGGCAAGGGACACGCTATTCCTCTACACCACCAACATTTTCCACAGATTCCAAGTTAAATTCGATCCAAAGGATGGCAATGCGAATCCAGGAATAAAACCGAGACCGGGATTTATGCTGAATCCGATGGCGTATAAAGTCGTGTTTAAGGATCGACAGGCATAAAGTTTGAAAAGTTATTGAAATTCTATATATCTAAATTTATTTGATCAGAAATAGAAAATATCTGGTAAACAAAATAAAAATAAGCAAATGCTTTTACTCCAAAATTTCCTCGCTAAATCGTTTTTTTTGTTTGAAATTTTGACGTAAAGGAATTTGCTTATTTTTATGCAAGACCCATTCAATTTAAAAGAATCAAAGTAAATGCAAACTAGTTTAATATGCATGATGAATATTTTTGCTTTCATTTATTTATTGTGCAATATTCCGTCAAGTGTAATAATCTCTTGTAATTCCCGACATAGGGGCTTTATATAATCTTTATGTAATCCTCAATAGGTTTTAATCCACTATTTTACCTATGTATGCATATGACCTTGTTTTGTTTTTCTGTTTATCTTGCTTGGCTCAATTCAACTTTCTCCTCTAATAAACAAACTATGTAACTGAATTGAGGGAAAATTATGCATTATAAATCGTCCTTTACAAAATGGGCCGTGTAGGAAGGAATCAGCGGTGAATTCACGGTTAAAAATAATAATTTACTGAGCCTCAATTTTTAACAGCCATTTAGCACTTTTTACGGTGTGATTATTTTGGGTACAGGTGCTGCATCAACGGAAATATATTATTTTCTGTGAGAATTTTGAGAATTTTCATTATTTTAAGGTCCTATAAAAATGGCATAATTCTTAATTTGCCCCAAATTAGATGATCAAGAGGGTCAAGCTCTAATCAACTCATTCTGGCCTTAGATTTACAGTTTTCGAAATAAATTTTTGCCGAACTGTGGCGTTCAATTTCGAGTTTTTAGAGCTGTAAATTCATATCTAAAAGCCGTGAATTCACCACTAATTCCTAGACGGGAAACGGATCTGTATTTGTAAAGGGTTACGCAATTCCCCGCATATCATATCGCTCCGAGCAAATTAAAAGACATCTATCACCCCACACCAACTTTTCCACCACTGAGGATGACTTTGTCTGATGGAAAGTTGCTTTCTTCCCAATGTTTCGTTGCATTCATATTATAATCGAGGCTTAAATAATCCGACGAGAGTCAGTCCGTGACGTGGGCTACTCGCTTCTTTTAGACCTCCACCCTCCCACATTGTTCTCATCCATTGACAGAAAAGTGTGACTGCAATGACGCAAAATGCTTATGACGGACTGGATGGAACCCAAATATCTCCCATCTGTAAATGTCATTCGGATTTAATGCCCCGCTAAAAATATCTCCTCAATGGGTATTTATTATTATGTATTAAAATTAAGTTGTGTAGGTCACGTGTATATATCCGTCATCAAGACCATACATATAGCGTCCTAATAGCACTTATACTAGGCTCCCCAACTTCCGAAAGTATATTACCAACCGAGAAGATAAGGACGAACCCCATTATTCCATCACAATAATAATGTTCCCCAAACTAGCCACGAAGGCTCGACTGGAGTCTTCCTTTGGGCACAGCATAACCAGTGGCCGCGGAAGCTGTGGGGATATCGGGGGATATTAACATTGTAGGATGGGGGAGGGACGGGTTTAGCTAACATGGGGAGATGATGGGGTACATCGAATAACCGTGGGGACATTGCCCCTCTGTCCACACCCTTCCGCCGTCACTGACCATACGCAGTCACCTTCAATGGATGGGAAGAAGAAGAAGGATTGAAGAGAAACAAAAACAGTGACCAAAGAAGAAGGAGAAGAAGAAGAGCGAATACAAGGATCGAGATAGAGACGAGGACGGAGAGGAAACAATGAAAAATCGGATTTCTCCTCCTGGTGCCAGTGACTCGCTTGGCTGGTTCACTCCTTCTTTCTCTCTCTCTCTCTGAGTACTTTCTCTTCTCCAAGAAGGGAAAACACTCTTGCTTTTTTGTCGAGTTCCTCATCCATCCAATATCCATGGATGTACATGGTAGCAGCAGTCGTAGTGATGGTGGTGGTGGTTGCAAAGCAATAAGGAGATGGCTTAGAATTTCGTGTAAGGAAAAATACAATGCCAATAAATACAAGCATTCTCTACGCCACGATGATGTGAAGAATCGTTGTTGTTCTTAGAGAAGAGACAGCAGTGTTTCGGGTGAAAGTAACGACATGCATGGAATAGCGGGGAGAAAGTGGTTTCTTGCGGGTAAATATTTTGACCTGCAAGAAATTATGAGTCACAGTTATACTTCATACAGCGCATTATTTCTTGCACTTTCTTGCACCTTGGAATTCTTGCGTTGCTTGATTTGCAGTGCAAGAAATGTAGCAAATATGCAAGAAATGCAACATTGTCAAAATCTCAGGTGCAAAAAATAACGGAAAGAAATTGGGTTCTTGCGGGTATTTTGACCTGAAAGAAACACTCCACCGCTGTAATTACGACGTGTGTGTAGATGGCGCCTATTTCTTGCACTTTCTCCCAGTTTCTTACACCCCGCATTTCTTGCGTTGCTTTCTTATCACTGCAAGAAATGTAATAAACCTGCAAGAATCGAAACACTGAGAGGCCGAGAGCATGGGACATACATGTAAAACATTATTAAATTTTTGTTACTCGACTCCTCCTGGAAAACTTGCAATCTTCATATTTCACCCGAGAATATGTATGTATGTAATGTATGAACCTCACTCGCGGAGAAAATAAAGTATGTATCTTCCATAAAGAGCAAACCTCGTGGAGAAAGATGGCTCGCTTTACGGTGTCTCCTTACTCTTGTTGCGTAACGATCTTGCTTTATTTGCAAACTGAATTTTACAACCGCTTATACACAACGTGGGTCGTAAAAGGGAAGGAGGTAAGGACGAGATGAGAGCCAAACAGTAAATAGCACTAGACTGCATTTTGCATTAGACTGGGTCTGAATTAAATTGGGTTGTGAAGAAGAAAGGTTGGAGGAAAAAAAGGGTAGAAAGAAAGTGGTCAAACTCACTTACTACACATACATGCATACTTTCGCATTGTTCTCTTTTTTGGAGGAATTTGGAATTCGTTTCTGGAGGGTTTGACACATTTCTTGCAGTGCAAAGGAAGAAACGCAAGAAATGGGAGGTACCAGAAACTGGGAGAAAGTGCTAGAAATGTGCCAACTAGCCTTGCGCAAGCAGCGAAAAATAATTTCTTGCACCTTGTATTTCTTGCAGGTCAAAATTGCTGCAAAAAGCTACCTTCTTGTCGTTATTTCTTGCATTCGGTGTTCCTTTTCTTGCGTGTTTGCTACATTTCTTGCATTGTAAAGCAGGAAACGTAAGAAATGTGAGGTGCAAGAAACTGGGAGAAAGTGCAAGAAATATGCGCCATCCAGCCGCGCGGTATAAGTATAGCGGCGGAGCCGAGTTTCTTGCTCCATGCATTTCTTGCAGGTTAAAACCACTGCAAGAAACCACTTTCTCCCCGCTATTTCTTGCACGTGGTTACTTTCACCCGAAACACTGAATTTGCATGAGGTCTTAGAGACCCCAAGAGATGCAGTGATACGAGGCATCCCTATAACGACGTGTGTACATAAGTGTATAACCTCTTATTAGGCACTTTCTCCCAACAGCAGGGCAGCTACTTTGTAAGTAAAGTTAAGCAAGAAAGACGAGGGGGCGGGGACGAAGAGGCTATTGTTATTGGATTAAATGAGGTTTTTGCTCTTCTACTTAATAGTGAAGTTCATGGGGAAAATTCCTTCCAACAAGCAACATTTTTGCATCTCTCCTTACTCCGCGTACACTTTTATGATTGGGATGAATATGATAATGTTCCACTAACCTTTGAAAATTTTTTACAGCTTGCCTTGCATCAACACAACACTTATTTCGTTTACTTTACTTTCTCCTCTTCTTTCCGTTCCAAGTATCTCGCTCATTTTGAGCCTGCCTGACTTACGTAGTTGATCTTAATGAGGAGAAAATTCTTGCGAAATTCTACTTTTCTTTGTATCCATCCAACGAAATCCAATTTTGGCAAGGAGTGAAGAAACTCAATACTTGAGAGCAAGTAATGAGTGTGTACTTACATGAACAACTGTCAAGCGAGTGAGTTAAGGGTTGGTTTATTTTATCATCACCAACAGGAAATGTGCCAGTTGAGTGTGAGTTAGTAGACAAGTTAATTACTAATGGGTTACACAAGTGTATGTACATACATACGTACATAGGTCTTGATTGGACTTTGGCTTAATGAATTTCAGAGACTTTGAGTGTATGTTTGTGTGTGTGGGAGGAAAAGGGGGCTACGTGTCTTACTAATAATGAGACGAAATTCGACATCTTTCGACTTTTGAGTAGTACAATCAGTGGCCGCGGAAGTGTTGGAACAGAGGGACAATGTCAACACGGTTATTCGATGTCCCCATCATCTCCCATGTTATACAAACCATTCCCTCCCCTATCCTACAATGTTAATGCCCCCACAGCTTCCGTGGCCACTGCGAATAAAACATCACCACGAAATAATTCCGCCTTAATGCAAACAAATTTAAATAAGTATGTAAGCGAACCGTTTGTCAAATATATTTCCTTTCGTCAATTAATACATCATCACGTAGCTTTGATCTGGGTTTAATTTTGTATCGTTTGAAATTACAAAACTTCTGGATGTAACAGACTCATTAAATTGTAGAATTCCGTTTGTCAATAATAAGCTGCCAGTTAATGATCCTATTAAATTTGGCATTTCACAATGTTCCGGAGAGACGTATTACATACATACCTACGTGTATTATTTGTTATGTTGTGTAATAACGAGATTCCAAGTTACGAAAATCCCCAATTTAAGTTAGTTGGTTCAAAATTCAAATTATTATATTCGCGACAAAGTACACATGGAAATGAAGTAGGGCCTGAAAGAGGCAGATGTATTAATACGTACGAAATGCTATTATATTTCGTCCTGATTATTTGGCTTGATTGGGAGGTACATACTTCAAGTTATTGTAATATGTGTCTCACATGGCAATGGCAGGTTTCTAGTTAATAAAGTTTAAATCTGTCAGCCAAGCCAGACTTTCCAGATGCTGACAACTTAGTTTCCATCCCTCAAAATTAGCAAGCTCATTTGCATGTGAAACCTAACCAAAGGGTAAAATCATTGGAATAAAATAAAATGCCTAGTTTATGCAGGAAACGTAATTTTTATATTTTATATTAGATTTTCTTCATATTTTCATTTCAAAATCTTATGTAATCGACATATCATTATCAATAATAATCTTCACAAACCGCGTAGAAAAATAGTTATTAAAATAATATTTCTTTAAAATATTTTTTTTGTAAAGCTACAAAACGTACCTAATTTCAATTATATTTCAAAAAATATGTCTGTATGCATAAATCCCAAATATTTCCATGTTGCAAAAAGCCAACTCCTCATCCTCATTAAATTCACCCTAACCTCACCTCACCCATTACTGGAAGGGAGGGGATGATGCAAATTTCTCAAAAAGTAGCATGTACATGTCATCACGACAAACTGTGAACATCCGACCAACAAATATCCTCTAAATGAACTAAATCTAGGCCAGAATTTGGACTCCGACTAAAACATCAGACCCAACGTTGACATACACACATTGCAAAACTTTCCCTTGTACTTGGAAAATTTCTGAAAACCCAGGTTATGCACAAACGTGTGTATAGCATCACATCATAAGATTCACACTATCGAACCACTGAAGCTAAACTAAAGCTACTTACTTACAGACACCAACGAATGGAATGGAATGAAGTACATTTGAGACTAGAGGAGCAACTTATAATCCGAAGTGAATGTGTTTTCCTGCTGTCGGGTGAAATTCCACGGCACTTTATTTACCACCCGAAACATTTTACAGGATTAATTGGCGCAATTTATTCCAACCAACCTCTGATCTCGAACTTCCGCTGGATGGAGAAAGTTGGTGCGTTGGTTGGTGGGTCGTATTGATGGCCACATTCCGGTATAAATCAACCTTCCGACTGCAACTACTTGGCATGACATCAGATCAGATGCCGATAGCAAATTTTATGTTGGCGTACATTCAGCCAAGCCAGCTGCCCGGGTACAATCACTCTTCGATACTTGCTACCGGGTGTCCGGAGACTAACAGGCGAGAAAACAAAAGTCGGGGAGGAGAAAAAAATTACCGGGGAAAATAATAAGAGACCCGAAAAAAAACCACCTATCTACAGAATTGCACTTTTCGAGGACATGTGGACCAACTCTGGTGAAATATTGTTCCACTTTTTAATAAAAAATGTTCGCAAATTAATTTTCTTTTCTGATTCATTCTCGCTTCCAGTATTTTTTAACAAGATGTATGTTGTCTAGACTTTAAGACGTTGCGTCATGTCATCTAAATTTGTGTAATATGTTCTGCTGCTTTGGACAGAATTTCGCTTTGTCCTTTACCAAATGGCCTAATTACTGGAAAATTTGATTATTACCCGTAAAAAATCCATAATTCACTTCTAGCTAGTTTTTAGCTGTGGACATGGCAGAATCGTCGTTGGGCGAGAGGAGCAGTGGCCGCGGAAGATAATTTGGACTGTGGGGACATGTTACATCCTGATAGCGAAAACTTTCACTGATTATTTTCAAGCTCAATAATTTTTTCCTTAAAAAATCCAGTATTAAAAAAAATTAGTGATGAGTATAATAAAACAGTAATATGAAAGTCGAAAAAAAATTGCATGAAAATTTTACAAAATCGAAATCTAACGAATTGTTACAAAATGAATTGCATACTTGGATGACACTAGTTTTAAATTTACTCAATTTTCTTGAAATTAGACCAGCAGAAAGTCAATATAATTACTATATTACCATATACAGAATTTTTTAATTATGGTTTGAGTTGGTTGAATCTTTGCCCATCCCACGAGACGGTGGGAACAAATGGATTGCATGTCCCCACGGAAAATTTCCGTGAGGACATTGGCCTTATGTCCCCACTATTCCGCGGTCCCTTGACGCGAGTAAGTATTTAAGACACACCCAACCAACCTGTCTCTCTCTCCAACCTCCTTTCATCTTTGATGATAATTGCTTCCCTAACCTGATTTACAACTCCTCCTCACCACCACCCATGTTATGTTGCATGTACATACATGTGCTAATCCCATCATCAAACACTCCCATCAAAATCACTACTCACCTGTAAGTGGCACGTAGACGTTAAGGTAGAGACAGTCTTCACTCTGATTTTGTAACAAGGGTAAAAGTCTCTTGAGCTGGGCAAGCCTCCCCTTCGGCATCACTTTCAAAGCGTCCGTTTCATTGTCAATATTCGGCAACACTTGCGGACACACCGGCGCGGGTTCCGTGTTCATCTTCGTGCCCGACCAGGGCGACCCGCTCACCGGCGGCATCAGGCGCAACGACCCGATCGGCGCGGACGCGAAGGGCAACCCGTAAAACACCTCGACCCCTTCGTACCCCCCCTTCGGCTGGAAGAGGAGGCCCCTCGCCGCCCCAAATTTGGTATTCACCACCCTCGTGCTCCACACCTGCTTGGACTTTGGGTTGGGCGACGATTCACTCGACCAGAGCAGGTGGGGCTGCGATATGAGGCACACAATGACGACGGACACGAGTTCCAGGGTGGATTGGAGCATGATCAAGGATAAATTTGATGCACTTTTTCACACACAAAAATACTTATAAATGGAGAGAGATAAGTCGTTGATAAGCAATTTCGGTTCACCAATCTCAGTTCACATTGTTTCTTATTAGTTTTCGGAGCAGGAGAGGTGAAAAAAGCGATTCTCCTCAAAGGTCAAGACTCGCCAGGTAACTTTTTTTCTCTCCTGCTGAATTCTTAATCCGTTAGGGAAGGAAGAATGAGCAGCAGGTGAGAAGATGAAAGTGAACTTGTTTTACTGGATATTTTTAGTGAGAAGCAGTCGGATTTTGTTGCAGTAACAATTCCATGGATTATTTAGAATTCACTTCCGGATTTCCAGAGGTTTTTTTTTCTCTCCTTCTCGAATCCTCGTCGCAATCCCTGTAAAAGAGGGAGACAAAAACAAATTGTAACTTCAATTCAATCCACACTGACATTCAATGCTGACTGACACAGCGTAAAATGCAATCTAAGGAAATTCCACGGCTTTATTGTAACAACTTGCATTTCAACTGTCGTTCTTTATCTTTTTTTTCAGTCCCCGATGGCCTCTCTCCTTTTGCTCACGCGAGTCCTACCAGACCAGAAATCGGTGGAGTAGTATTATTTTACTACTGCTACTACCACGGAAATATCCGTTGGACTGCGACACCCCACACACACAACGAACCACAAAAACACACAGCACCCAGGGGGATTCGGTGTGATTACATTACCAATAAATATCATAGAGGCGAAGGTTCAAAATGGGATTCCGCACAAAATGACGAACAAGACCCAATTCGAGAAATCTTTCTTCTAAAAGTTTTGATATTCAGAGTTTTCTTTCAAACAAAGGGTGAAAACGGATGTAACGAAAGGGTGAAACCAAACGTGGTAAGTCTTTGAATGAAATATCAAAACTACAGTTGTCAATCAGTTTATTGAGCGTTTTTTCCTCTTCAGGTGAAAATATCTCTGCGAAACCTACGCATTTGGAGATCGCGTCTTGACTGCCACTAGTTTGCTCAAAATCGGAGAGCATACGCTGGAAGACCTCCATTGTCAGTGATTTATTGGATTCTGTGTACTGGGACGCACACGCTTTTAACCTACAACTCATAAATTCCAAATTCAAATCACTTTTACCCCTTGAAATAGTGAATTTGTGTATGAAGTTTCTCCCATTTTGTTCACAAGTTGTAGCCTGACACGGACGGACAGACAAACCACACTTCTTTCACAAAGAGGTCCCACCCTTTAAAAATGCAACCACCGAGATTCCACTTGATGACAGTTTCCCAAACATTTCTGATCTCCGAGTTGTTTGTTTCACTCGCTCGGTAAGCCCACCATCACAACCAACCAAACCACGAACAAATGCAATGCAATGCTATCTCTTTAGAGGTGCATAACTTTCACGTTTTATTGTATGGTAATAGTAACTGCCCTCAACTGAAACGTAACGCACATACCGCACCACCACCACCCGGAGAGAATGGAATGACACAAAAGTTTCACCAACCAACTTTCTCCACCCAAAAACAATGGGCGACTGACGGAGGATAAGTAGACTAACAAAAAATGTAAGGTAAGTGAATCAGAATATTGAATTTGCAATAGGCAACGGCATAAAAATCGACTAAAAAGAGCATACATAACGGAGGTCCAGTGGCCGCGGAAGCTGTGGGGACATGTGGGGACATTAACATTGTAGGATAGGGGACGGATGGGTTTATATAAGATGGGCAGATGATGCGGACATCGCATAACCGTGGGGACATTGTCCCTCTGTCCGCGGCCACTGCGTAGCCCATATATCCTACAAAATTTAAATTTTCTCCCTTCTGAAATAGTGACGATCTGAAGTGTGTCATCAAAAATGTGAGATTTTGTTTTGCTCTACAAAGTTGAAAAGATTTCGTCAAACGACAGCTTTTCGATGGAATGGTCACGATTGACGATGGCGGAGAGGGAGAGGCGATGGCATAAGAATAAGAACAAGTTGCATTGTCCTGTCCTCTCAGTCAACTCACGTTTTATGAGACATTGACATTTACGAGTTTACCTCTCCTCTTCTGTCCTAGATTCCCGAATCCTTTTAAAGTTCCCGAGTTTTAAAGTCTTTCTTGTCGACCAACCAACCGACCGAGGAGGCTTCGCTGCGAGAGAGTATCTCTCTCGCTTATCCGTCTTATTTCTGTCTTACCCTTGCTGCATTTTATGACCAATCGTATCAACTTTTGTTACACCAACAACACAAAGTCACTGTTTCTTGTAGTGTTTCCTCCTCCTACGCTAAAATATTGATCTTACATATGTACTTGCATGCATATCTTGGGGTCCACGACACGCCGGAAATGGTTTCTTCTGTCGTGTCACACCTTTCTAAATTTTATCAGTTTTTTGCTCTTGTTTTAAGCTGCATTTCAGTCCAAGAAACTGTTACGTAAAGAGAGAAAGGGTGGCCGCAATGTTTCGGGTGAAAGTAGCCACGTGCAAGAAATAACGGAAAGAAGGTGGGTTTTTGCAGGTATTTTGACCAGCAAGAATTTTAGTCTATGCATTTAACCCGATTGGTTTTTCAGATTGGATACATCAAAACTTTAGAGTGATGCAACTTTTAAGCGATAAATTCGGGTGCAAGTAAACACTTGCAAGAAATCAGGGAAAGAAAGTGGTTTCTTGCGGGTATTTTGACCTGTAAGAAATGCAAGGCACAAGAAACTATGCCGCTATACTTCATATGGCACGTGGCTTGATGGCGCATATTTCTTGCACTTTCTCACAGTTTCGTGCACCTCGCATTTCTTACTTTGCACTGCAAGAAATATAGCAAACCGGCCCGAAACGAAACCCTGTTTGGCCCTGCTTGGCTGGTTGGTTGGGTAGCTGCACGATCTATTTTTGTTGGTTCTTCTAAGATGACGGAAAAATAAAAGCTTTCAGAAGTTGAAACAATAGGAGAAAGCTTTGATCCCTCGTTTAATAGTGCATGAGAGGAGACAAAGAAGAGAGAAGCAACAAGAGACGGTTGAGAGGATGACGATGACACCCTAATCGGATCAAATGATTTTGTCACTTGTTTCTTTTATCTTATCCAGAGCATAAAATCTGACAGCCTCCTCTCTCCCTTTCGCCTTCTTATGTATGTGCATGCATCAAACGACGACAATAAATCGCTCAGTCATTCAAGAAGGCCAACATCAAAAAGTATACACTTCTTCTCACTCATACATACATAAGTCTCACACATAAATGTTGCAAGTTTCCTGCCCCTCCTCAAGTCAACCGGATTATGACGAGGATAAAGATTCATAACGAAATTATTTACTGCAATTTGTACAGAACTCCTCGGGTATTGCACACTCTTAGAAACCTGGTATTAAATTATTACCGGCAGGAGTATATATTTGCACGACTCTACCGGCACTGGTAATAACGGGCATTACCCGTTAGTAATGTTGTCGCAATGCAAAATTTACCAAACTGCTACCAATCCGGTAAGAAGTTATTACCGAATCAATTCCAGTACCGAGTATATATCCGACTCTACCAGATTTTTAACAGTGCACTTTACTTTTTATTGTGCAAGACCACCACTCGTCTTGTCTCTCTTCCTCTTCCTGCTACCCGGGTTCGTTAAGATTTCATAGAATTCAAAATTCATTAAGGCATAAACAAGCCTTCCATTAGCAATAAAACGAAACAAGGGCCGGAAAAATAGTTGCAATTACGAAACCCTTCCAGGGACCGGATTAAATTAGCGAGTCAGCAACAAAACACCCGGAACGAACGAGAGATGAAATATTCCGTTACTTTTATTCCCCCGAAAAGAACGCGACAAGAGAGACAACAACAGCGCAATAATGCAAAACACAAGTTGGTGACAGGACTACATTAATTTTTTAATATGATTTATATCCACATACATTGTTAGTGTTAGGGCTGTGTTATAGGGATATGGTTGTGAAACGTGGCGGGGTGGATGGTCCCAGTGGCCGCGGACAGAGGGGCAATGTCCCCACGGGTATTCGATGTCCCTATGTTATATAAATCCCTCCCTCCCCTATCCTACAAAACTAATGTCCCCACTGCTTCTGCGGCCACTGGATAATCCAGCCTTCAGTGAGTGAGTGAAAGTAAGTATAAAGGCAAGCAACGCAACATGACGTTGCGTCTTGCTGCCATGGTTGATGATAATAAATAAGAACGCATCACCCTGCTGCTGCCTCCCTGTCATCTTTCTCACGCTAAAGAGTGGTGCAATCCAAGCAATGAAAACTTGAGTGAAACAGGAGGACGCACATATACAAATTTACGTGAAATTTTGTTCAGAAAAATTGTAACCCTTTAAAAATACACTTGAGACAAAATCTTCACCAAATTGATAAAAGGAATTGTTACGTAATAGCTGTGTCTTTAAATAAGTAGAAAGTTAATAAGATAACATAAAATCTTTGGCGACCAAATTTGTATTTATATAAATTGTTACTTAATAGCTGTGTCTTGCGTAATGATTAAGTAGAAAGTAAAGTCGCGTAAAATAAAGATAACATAACATAAAATCTTTGGCGACCAAATTGGTATTTAGATAAAGGAAATTGCTAATAGCCGTGTCTTTAAGTAATTTGAAGAGTAAAGTCGTCCCTCCCTTTGAAGAATTATGATGCAGAAAATTTCCCTGAAAACCAATCTATCTAAATAGTGGTGGTGCATTCCAGTCTTTCTTTCTCCGTGCCATCACATCGCATCACATCGAAAATTGAAATAAAGATAGACGCCGCAAGGAAGTTGAAGGCAGGCAGTGAGAGCATTTCATGATAAATTGAAACGTGAATGCAGATTAAAATTGTGTCTCGTCTCTCTCCGAATTCCGTCCTGCTTTCCCCGAGACTTATATAACTAACGGCAGGAGAGACACCACCACCACATATCCAAAATCCACTGGTGAAAGTGGATGGATGGATGAAAGAGGCTGAACTGAATATAAAAGCGGAGACATTAGTTGGCTGGCACTCTTTAATGCAATGTTGGTTTGGTTGGTGAGCCTTTTAGACGAAATGACACGAGAACGGGGCAAGTTTGGTTCTTCTTAGCAGTGCCCGCGGAAGGTGTATGGACATGTGGGGACATTACCATTGTAGGATGGGGGAGGGAGGGGTTTAGCTAACATGGGGAGATGACGGGGACATCGAATAACCAGGGGGACATTGTCCGCGGTCACTGGTTCTTCTACATTCTGTTGCTCCTCGTCTACTTTCCATTTCATTTTCTTCTCCTGAATAGAATTCAAGTGCAAAAGCAACTCACTCCTTCTCAGATTTTCTTTCTTTATATTCCTCCAATCCATCCAGTAAAAAGGGGAGAAAGCAGTAGGAGCAGGAGCACCTTAGCAGCAC